TCGGATCCTGGGCGCACAGTGACGCGCTGCTTCTCTGGCCATGCTGAGGCCGCGTCCCACATACAGCAACTAGAAGGATGTGCAGCTATGACGTACAACTATCTACTGGGGCTTTGGGGAAAAAATAAAAAATTTAAAAGAAGGGAGGGGAATATAGCAGAGGATAAAACCATCCTTAAGTTTCCAAATTTCTATTAAAAATACATATGAAACAAGTAGAGAACACTTTAGATAAAAGATTAATTAAAATCATATCCTCAATCATTGCAAAAAACATCCAAGCTAGCACAGCCAGAGGCACAAACCTACCAAATACTGCTCAGTTATTAATCAGTCCAAGACCTATAAACCTATAAGGAAAACTCACAAAGGTAAGAATCTCAGTAGTTCGGCACAGCTGTCAACGTGGGTACCACGGAATCTAGGTCAATACCCTTTCAGTGTTTTTAAAAATACATTAAGCAGTCAGGTTAATAAAGTAAAAAATGAGCCTCATTTTACTGTGGGCTTAAAGTAACACTGCTGTGAACACTGTTTCCATGCAGAAATCCCTGTACCTCACGGCCTTGACCAAAGGAGTGGATTTCAAAGAACGGAAAGATATTGTACATATAATGCCTACATGTTCCTTTACTTCAGGGCACCATTAATTTTCAAAGATAAAAATGGAAAAATATCCATTAAATCAACAAAGATCATGTCTTAATCTCCATGTGCTTATTAACAAAACTATCCTGATCAAGATTTTAGAGCTTATTTTCAGCAATTCTACTCAAGGCCTCAGGCGTCAGACCTGGGAACAGCTGCAGCTCACTTTCACTTCTGTTACAATGAATGACTTGTTACGTGACTGATCCGTTTCTTGGAACAAATAGAAAAGCTGAGCACAGAGCTAATAAAATAGCAATACTGAGAGGCAACGATCCCAGAGATAAAGGGAACAGGAAGAAATGAGTGTGACTTTCTGTGCTTTGCCCCTCAACGCATTTTCCAAGTTGCAAGGCAATCAACTAAGAGGTAAAGGAGCTGAACACAGGACTAAGGGGCAGAAACGGAGCTCGGGGTACAATAAGGATGAGTGATACTAGGGGACACGTGGTGCTCTCAGCAGAATAGGGGTGAACCATAACCAGACCCGTCCTCACAAAGACTGAAGCCCCAACTCAACTCAGCTCAGTTCCTGCCAGGATGGAGAAGACCTGCCTCCACCTGATCCATGTGCCAGAAGTGCACGTCAACTCTCTCTGGAGGGAAAAAACATCATCCAGACCCTCACACAACTCTAAAGATTTTTCATATCCAATGCCCAGCATACAATCAAAAAGACCAGGCATACCAGCAGACAAGACCAGAAAAGAATGGAGTTACGCATCAGAAGTAGTGAAAAAAAGTTCAGCCAACATTAGACCCAGCAAAAATATCCTTCAAAACTGAGGGTCCAATTAAGAATTTCAGAAGACATATACCAGCTTATCCATTTCCTTATTGTGTAACCTTGGGCAAATTTCTTTACTGTCCCCTATGTCACAATTTTGTGATCTTTACAATAGAGATGATAGTAGTCACCCCCTTCCCCCCGCACAGAGTGCTGCGCATATTAAATGACATAATACATGTAAACACACACACACAAAAAAATCACTGTTATTATCCTAGGAATATGTCCGTCCTAAAAGATGACAAACATCCCAAGAGCACACACTTGACTACAGAAAAACATTGATCACAGCACTGAAAATGGAAACAACCTAAATATCCATCATAGTACATCTATACACGGATTGCCACGGTGCCTTTCAGATGAAGACGTGGATCTATATTCATTGATACAGAAAAACATTTGTAGTTTAGTGCATGGAAAAAAGGCAAGTTACAGAATTATAAAAGATATGATCTCTTCTATGTATAACTAAAGATAAGTATCTCTATTATGTACATATGCATAGAAGCTTATAATATGGTCTTTTACTCATTTTTTTTAAGCCCTCAAACTTACTTGATGACTCAAAGAAGAGCTAGCCATCTGCACATCAACCAGTTTTAAACACAGGCCTTAATAAACACATAAGCTTATAAATATTAAAAACACACCTACTGAATTACTAGCATTCAGTTCAGATATCTTCAAACTTACATCTTTATTCTTGGTAACAACGTTGCTAAATAACGACCTGTCGATGACACCATTATTTCTCTTCTGGCTTAAATGAAGACCAAAGAGAGTTCGAACTTCATTTTCATCTGGATTGTAAGACTGGTCCATCTAAAACACAAATTTAAAGAGTTAAAAGTAATACATCTACATCCCTCAAAATTTTTCACTTAATTTATGTACAAAAGATTTTATTTTAAGACGTTTATATGCATTTTTTTCTAATTCCAGCACACGTAAGATCATTTCAGTATGGGCATAAGAAAAGGGCCAGGGACCAATGTTTTGCTCCAAAAGATTTTACAGGTTTTATAACCCTGTAGGGTTTTACAATTTATACCAAACATACTAAAACCAAAGATTCCAGTGAGAGCATTTTTGCTTACATTAACTGAAAGCACTATCTACTCAGCCGTTCTGAAAGATCAGCAGATGAAACAGATATGCTGAAAAAACAGGCAGTGGCACAAAAATTAAATTCAAATTTTCCTTTCCTTCTAAAAATCTACTACAAATACCAAGCTAACAACTGAATTAAAAAGTTAAAGGGGGAGGGGGGAAGCATTTGTAGCCTGTGTCATTGTTATTTGAAAAGGAATATATGTCATTTATTGCTACCTGCCTCTCCTGAAAAGATATTAAGGTATGGGAATAATCTGCCTAAGATCACTCTCTCCCTAGATATTTTTCTAAACTTGACAGTATTTCTTCATTTACCCTTTGGATGATCTTGGACTTAGAAAGCACTGATATCTATAACTTACAAGCAAGCCCTCATATTAATTCTGCTTAACTTGTGTTTTCTTGAATTCTAAAATGCTCCTTTTTCCTTTGCATTATAAAATTTCTAAAACTGGAATATGCCCTCCTATTAACTGCTGTCAAAAGAAACTTCTCCTGGCACGGCCCCGTGGCTTAGCGGTTAAGTGCGCGCGCTTCGCTGCTGGCGGCCCGGGTTCGGATCCTGGGCGCGCACCGACGCACCACTTCTCCAGCCATGCTGAGGCTGTGTGCCACATACAGCAACTAGAAGGATGTACAGCTATGACATACAACTATCTACTGGGGCTTTGGGGGGAAAAATAAATAAATAAATAAAATTATAAAAAAAAAAAAGACAAAAGAAACTTCTCCTTAGCCAGGTAGAGGAATAAGTTGTTTCATGGTTGTAATTATGTGTCCGTGTACAAACTTAGCCAAACTCTCAAATAAAATATTGAGGAAACCCTATATTCTTTTGACACTTTCAAATATGATACTGTCAGGTGCTCAAGAGGTCATGATGATGAACTCAGGGTTTGGAAAGCATCCTCCATGATGCTACATGTAACTGCTAATAGCCATAAGTACTTAATACTCTTTTTTTTTTGTGAGTAAGATCAGCCCTGAGCTAACATCCATGCCAATCTTCCTCTTTTTGCTGAGGAAGACTGGCCCTGGGCTAACATCTGTGCCCACCTTCCTCCACTTTATATGGGACGCCGCCACAGCATGGCTTGACAAGCGGTGCGTCAGTGTGCGCCCGGGATCCGAATCCCGGCCGCCAGCAGCGGAGTGCACGCACTTAACTACCACGCCATGGGGCCGGCCCCACTTAATACTCTTAACAACAACAAAAGAATACTTGATTAAAAAACTGTAGAATATACTGTCAGCTAACTGAATGGTTGAACTTCCTATCAAGTGCCTTCAAAAAAAAAGCATGTAATCTGGTATTTCTTCTTGTTTCCTTGAAAAGCTGACATGGAATCAATGATCAACCATACAATTACTGGTATCTTACAAAGAAGAACATATACTTAATATACTTAGTAACTTCCATTATATAGAGTTGGGATTCTACAGGTTTTTTGATATCAACACCTTCTGAAAAATGACATTATGAATTTTTACTTTTAATTCAAATAACTCTTTGCCTTATGCATGTACAACTTTAGATTACAGGCTAGTTTCCCTAACACGTAAAGCTTGTAAAAATCAGTAAGAAAAAATCTCAACAATCAATTAAAAAACAGGCAAAGAATCTGGGCAGACAGTTCATAAAAAGAAATACCCTTAAATATGAAAAGATGTTCACCCCACACAAGGAAAAATTAAAACCACAATGAGATGTCATTTTCATCTATCTTATTACTAAGACAAAAAAGTGTAAGAACACAACGCTGGCAAAGGTGTTAGCAAACAGGCTCCCTTACACATTCCCATTAAGACACAGAGTATGTTGCACAACCTCTAAGAGGAGCAGTCACCACCAAAATGACCAATACACACAGGCTGCGACCCAGGCCTAATTTCCCTCCTGGGACTTCTTCCTGGGTTACTCATCACAGTTGTGTCTATTAGCTAAAGACTGGTGACTAGCTAGGTAAGACACACAGACATGGGACAAACTTCCAAGATGGTGAAGTAGGGTGTATTTCTGTTGGTGAGGGGAAAAAACGAAAAAGAAATGCAAATGCCAGTATTTGCTAAATATGTACAGACTCTTTCAGGAAAGATAAGCAAGAAATTTAAAATGGTAGTTACTTTTAAAAACAGTAACAGTGGCAGAAGGGAGGGATGGGGACACTTTTCATCAAATAACATTTAATATACCTTTTGAATAGGAAAGCAGGTAAATATACTACTTAAAAAAATTTAAAAAGTTAAAATTAGGGGCCGGCTCCATGGCTTAGCGGTGAAGTGCGCCAGCTCTGCTACTGGTGGCCCAGGTTCGGATGCCGGGCGCGCACCAATGCACCGCTTGTCTGGCCATGCTGAGGCTGCGTCCCACATACAGCAACTACCAGGATGTGCAACTATGACATACAACTGTCTACTGGGGCTTTGGGGAGAAAAAGGAGGAGGATTGGCAACAGATGTTAGCTCAGGGCCAGTCTTCCTCAGCAAAAAGAGGAGGATTAGCATGGATGTTAGCTCAGGGCTGATCTCCCTCACACAGATAAAAAAAGAAAAAAAAAAAAAAGGAATTTAAAAAATAAATAAATAAAAAAAATAAAAAGTTAAAATTAAGGGTAAGGAAGCTATCCTCATATTAAACCCAAAAATTAATAGTAAGAAAAAAATTTGCAAGATTAAGGATAAAGAAACCACAGTAAAGAAGGATAAATTAGAAGGCTGTCAGCATAAACGAAAGACTAAATATGCAGAAAAAGAGACACAGAATAAAAGAGCAAATAACTGCTTCAAACATGAATTGTGCTAACCTGAAGAACACAGTAGTTCCCATTTTTCTTTTTAGAAAGTATTTTCAAAGCTTCGTCTTCATATCCTGGGGCAACAATACCATCAGATACCTGTGAATATACTAAGTATTAATTTCTATTTTAAAAAAATTAGAGAACACCTCTTAAACAATCTAGAGACTATTATCTGTCTTTAAATAACGCAGTAGCCTTTTCTGGTGTCTATGTCCAACAGATAATGCTAATACTATACCTAGAAAAAATAAGCCTGTGTTAGAACACAGCTTTCTACAGCCGACCATATCTCATTTGCTGTCCTTTCAAAGTTTTTGGTTGTTTGTTTCAGTTTTAACTAAGATGATATGAATGATTCACTCTAATACACGTAACCTTAGAAAGAAAAACGATTTCTTACTGTTCTGTTCACGGGTGGTGTTTTGCACTAGAAAGAGCATGTTCTAGTCCCAGCTCTGCCTGGACCTGGCTCAGTAACCTTAGGCAAGGCAAGTTCCTCCACAGCAAGAGAGGGGTCAGACTGAATCAGAGATCTAACGTCTTATAACTAAAGATACAAAAGCCACAGCTCTCACTCCAAAGCCTGTGCTGTAACCGACAAGGCCACATGTCAACTCCACTGCAGTCGGGGACGACAGCGGTCACAGAGAGAACGGCTACAGCAACTAAATACTGTCAGACCTTTAGCCTTCATTTCTACCTATTTTCCCTCCAAGCAATCTGAGCTACCATCTTTTCTTCCCTTTCTGTCTGTCTCCCCACCCCTAAAGCCACTCACACCTTTCTGGAATGCTGGTTTGGCATTCAACTCATGGGGGTTAGTTTTTCAGAGTAGTTAATAATTTCTCCCTTCTACAGTCTCTTCCATTACAGACCTATGAAAGTTTACAGGAAAGTTCATTATTACATCAACCAAGATGCCACCCTCCGCTCTTGAGAAACAGTAACTTTGGCATTAAGATAACGACTATACTAGAGAAGTTAAAAGACTAAATGTATAAATTAAAACTTTTCCATAATAGTCAAACATCCATTTGAAATAGTAATTCACTAAATTTCAAAATTACAATTCAGTTAAGGATTCATGTTCTACATAAAATATGAACGTTCTAAATGACAAACTTAATTTACAGATGGCATAAATATAAACATTACAGGTTCTGTTTTCAATGAACACTCTGAACAAATAAAGCCTACTCAGTCACGCATGGATCAAGATATACGAATGCCCACTAACCTCTCTGGAGATAATTTTGGCGGTAGGGACATCACAAACATCAGATAACGCCACAAAGTCACCAAATGACGACATCCTATCGGCCCCTGTAAATAAAATTAAAGCGAGGTATCCATCACAAATTATCCTAGCACAGAAAAAGACAACGTTTAAAAAACCCCAATGTGATCGTATAAAATCCCTTTCTCTAAATCTAACTCTATCGTTTACATGAGATTTAAACAGTAGATTAATACGCCATTTAACTGAAATAACTGGGAGAAAGTATTCTTTAATTTTATCTTCAAGAGCAGTACTTGGCAAACTTTCTGTGAAGGGCCTGATAGCAAATATTTTTTAAGCTTTGTGGCCACATGGTCTCTGTTGCAACTACTCAACTCTGTGGTTGTGGTTCAAAATTAGCCATTGACAACACAAGGAAGGGCCAGGGCCCTGTTCCAACCAAACTGCATTTACAAAAACAGGTGGCAGGCTGGATACAGTCCGTGAGCCACAGTCTGCTAATCCCTGTTGCAGAAGGTAAACTATATCAAGGTTCTCAGGAATCTTCCATAAATGTTACACTAATATTGATAGGTTATAAAATTCATAAATTAGACATTTCTGAGATATATCAAATATAACTATAACCAAATTCAGTGAGGTTAAAATAACCATAGAATTTTAGCCATATCTTAAGCAATACAAATGCATTCAATAGCCTAATCTAAAATTACATGCACCAAATTTCAACTGTGGTTCCAGTTATTACAGTAAAATACTAACATACACTTCTGTAAACAAATGCATCCCAAGGCATAGTCATTCTAAAATATTAATAAAAAACAAATTAAAGATAATTTGAAATCTTATAATAAAACAAAGGATATTACTATTTTATTCTATTTAGGATATAATATTGCTTTTTTCCTCAAAAAACACTGTTTCTCTTCTGACCTCTTGCTCGGGCATACGCGGTTGATGTGGGTGTGAGGGTCTGATACAGATCGTAGACCATGCAGACTTTGGCCTCATCTTCACTAAGTGGAACTCCAACAGCAGCACCTGGCACAGGAAAACCACAGAATAAACCCAAAATCTCAGGTTACTACTTCTCAACTCCTGAATCAAGACAACATTTTTCTTAATAACTAGTCTATGCAGCAATAATTTCTAGCGCCGGTGCCACATTAAATAGAAATCTGTTTAGCCAGATAATTAAACACCAAAAATATAGTTGCGGGGGAAGATGAGGAGGGGGAGGCTCTTCTCTCGGGCCTGAGTCTGCCAGCAGCAGGAGTGTGCATGAGGCTGGTTTACTTCACTACTGACTCTCTCTCCATCCTGTTTGATACCACACACCATTTATTTCTTACCTGCTCACATCCCTTTAATATCAAATAAACAGAGAATTAACGATGTGCTGGACTGTGAGCAGATCTGGTGATATAAATAACTAAGCTGTGGAGTTGGCTTAAACACAGAAGCAAAAAGGTTATCTCATACACGATCGCTACGAAGAGTTACAGATAATGTGTCATAAGAACAACTTTATTTATTCTCAGTTTTCCATTTTCAACCATGTGGAAAAACATTTAGTCATAGTGCATTAAGCTATTTCACTTTTTTATTTTCTACCTTTCCACTACAAAAAAAACTATTTCCTGATCTTCCTATCTCACAATAATGTTACATAATTATACATATGCAAATAATGTGTTATTTTATTATCAGATTTTATCATGTTACTATATTGCTACTGTTCAGATTTGACAGAAGTGGTTTCAGAAATATTCATAGAATGTCTGTATTCACATTAGAACATGTCAATTCTTTTTAAAATTAAAAAGAAGTGCATTTCGAAACAGTTCCAGAGCATTCCAGAGCACAACGTTTTACCTGCTGGGCTGACGTGTTTGAAAGAGGCAGCGGCTGGAATGCCTAAAGCTTCTTTGAGCTCCTTCACCAGCTGCCAGGCATTCAAAGCATCACACAAGTTTATAAATCCAGGGGCTCCATTGAGAACTACATACAAAAACACACATTACCAAGCAGGGTCAGTAAGGTCAGGTGTATGTACATTTCTGAAAAAATAAAAACATGTATCAAGACTGCACAAATATTTTTTAAGTGAAGCATAATTAAGAGGCAAACAGATACACACAAATATATAAGAACTTGATGAGAAAAGTGAACAGAGGCACTAGAGCTTATCTTAAAAAAAAAGAATACGAACACACGCCTACACACACACACACACACACACACCTACTGGAGGACCAAATCCAGCCAATCTAGACATAAACCAATAGAGAATTCAGGAGTGGGAGAAAGACAACACTAGTGATCATCAGGGACCCGTTTCAATACAGAATTAAGATTAAAGAATTATGGCAATTACAGAGACAGTATAAAATTTAAGTTATAAATCTTGTCATTTTAAGAAATATTACTACAAACTAAGGCAAGAGCTGTGAGTGGGAGGAAAGAGGGAAAAAAATGCGTTGGCTTTTTCTTCTTTTATAGTGGACTCAGTAGGCTCTGCCTGAAGTTGAAATGCAGTTAAAAAGACCACAACTTCAGAGTTTTCCATTGCCTATTTTCTTATCAATGAAAGGATTTTTTAGGAGTTAATATCTCTCGTGAATAAATACTTATAAGAAGTTTAGCACATACAAAAAAATAGTGGGCCACTAATTAAAAACAAATTTATAATTGCATTTCCTTTCTATTCTCTTGCATAGTGGCTACTTTAAGAAAAACTGCCAAGTATCTACTCAGTGCCCACGCTCCAATGTTAGGCACTGTTCTACCAGGGAAGGAACAGTCCCTCTCACCCACCCCCAAAACATCACTGGCCTCATAGAGCTTATGGGAGAGGCAGAGAAGAAACAAAATAGGCAGTAAATAGTAAACAAGAGAAAATATTAGGTATTTACACACATGAGTTGATAACACGTCCACACAAAAACTTGTACTTGAATGTTTTTAGCAGCTTTACTCTAACGGCCAAAAATTGTCCTTCCATGTTTGATGTCCCTCAACAGGTGAATGGAGAAACCAGCTATGGGACATCCATGTCCAATGGGACATTATTCAGCAATAAGAATAAATGAGCTCTCAAGCCAAGACATGGAAGAACCTTAAATGCATACTGCTAAGTGAAAGAAGCCAGTGAGAAAAGGCTACATACTGTACGATTCCAATGTTATGACATTCTGGAAACAGCAAAACTATGGAGCCAGTAAAAAGAGCAGTGGTTGCAGGGGCTAGGGGGGTGGAATGGCGGGAATTTTCAGGTGATGAAACTATTCTGCTTGATACTGTCAAGGTGGATGCATGACATTATGCGTTTGTCAAAAACCTGCAGAATATGTAACACAAAGAGTGAGCCCTAATATGTAAACTCTGGACCTTAGTTAATAATAATGAATCAATATTGGTTTATCAATTGTAATAAATGTACCAAACTAATGCAAGGTGGTGAGAGGGGAAACGGGGCAGGGGAGGGAATGTTTGGGAATGTCTGGGAACTCTCTGTACTGAGAAATTTTTCTGTAAATCTACAATTGCTCTAAAGGATAAAGTCCAGTAAAAAAAGTACTTAGAAAAAATAATTCCCTTGACCAAGGACGAATGAAAAAGCTTTTGGAAATGAAAAGAATGGGCTCTGAAAGTACACAGAAGTAGTGTTTGAATCAGAATCTAAATGGGGAACATTATAAGGAGGAAATATCTGAGATAAAACAGTAGATAAATCTGTTTTAAGAAATTCTAGAGGTAAAAATTTGTGTAACATGTCAAGTTTCTAACTATTCATTCAATAAATATTTAGGGAACATGCCAAGTGATATTCTAAGCACTGGGGACACAGCAAGGAACAAAGACAGACAGGGTTTCTGCTCTCGGGAGCTGACATCCTCAGGGGAGAAGGCCAATAAAGCGCAAATGTACGCAGGGAAATAGGGTGATGCGATAAAAGTGTGATGGCAGCTACTTTGGCCTGGGTCGTCTGGGAAGGCTTCTCTGAGGAGGTGACATTTAAGGTGAGATCTGAATGACAAGAAACCAGAGGGAAGATTCTGGGTGAAAGGAACAACCTTTCCTTTGCAAAGGTCCTAGAGAGAAGAGGCTTGGCCTGCTGAATGAACAGGAAGAAGGTGCTGGGAATAGAGGGCAAGGGGAGGTTGTCCAGGAAGCAGACCCGAGTCAGATACCAAGGTCTGTAGAGCAGGGCAAGGTGTTTAAGCAGGAAGGAAAGCCAATGGTTTTAAGTAGGGTGTAACATCATCTGATTTCCGTATTTAAAAGACGACTCTGCTGTGAAGAACAGAAAGAACAAAGAGAAAGCAGAGAGATCAGTCAGATTATCGCAGGCTGAGAGACTTCCGGGGAGACTGTGGGGCTGGGGTAGTGTTAGAAAAGATTCAAAGTATATTTGAGGTAGAGTAAAATAAATAAATAAAAAAAAATTTAAAAGGGCTGGCCCCGTGGCTTAGTGGTTAAGTGTGCGTGCTCCGCTACAGGCGGCCTGGGTTCGGATCCCAGGCGCGCACCTACACACTGCTTCTCCGGCCATGCTGAGGCCGCGTCCCACATACAGCAACTAGAAGGATGTGCAACTATGACATAGAACTATCTACTGGGGCTGTGGGGGAAAAAAATAAATAAATATTTGAGGTGGAGCAGGAACAGAACCTGTTGATCACTGAATGAAGGGTAAAGAGAATATTCCAAATTCTCCTCTAAGCTCCCACACTGCTCCCAGCTCCTCCTCTCCCTCTGCTGGTGATGGGAGAAAAGAGCAGACAGGAAGGCCTGCGTCTTCTCACCATCAGTGCACCATCCTGTGCGCCCTGTGCGTGCCGACTGAGCATATGCAGTCCCTGCTTCAGAACCTCCTTCCAATGCTCGGGCCTCCAGGCCTCACGCCCTTCCCACCCACAACTCTCTCCCCTCTGCCCCCTGCCCCCAAGAGTGAGGAGCAGCACAGGCTCGACCAGCCCACCTTAGGAACAAAACAGAACAAAAAACCGGAAAACCCTCTCGCAACTCTACAAACCCATGGAGGTCCTGACTAATCTCTCTGTTCAAGGAACTCTCTTTATCATTGTTATTTCCTAACCTCACATTCCTGTTTCGGCCCACTTCAACTGGGCTTCCGGATCCATCATTCCAAGAAAATTGGTTTCTTCTAACATTCCCAGATCATACAGTCACTTTTCTGTTCTCAGCAGCATTTGAATCGGTTGAAACTCAAGTGTTCCAACCTGGTTTTCCTCTGCTGGTTCACCCACTGCTACCCCAAGGCATGGTCTTGACCCTCTTCTATGAAATCCAGGCCATCCCACACCGTCCTATATCTTCAAAATCATCTACACGACAAAGACATTCCAATCTGTATCTCCAACTTCCCCTCTCCCCAGAACCCCACACTGTCTCAATATTTTTTGCTCACAAGTCCACCCGGCATCTCAAACTTCAAGCGGCTGTAAGAGTTATTATATAATTCACTTTATCTTCTAAACGTAAACCTCATCAGATATGATGTAAGAAAGACACACACACCCAGACACCGCAAACCGTGCCACACAACACTCAGCCTTTACCTGTGATGGGAAGCTTGGGCTTCAGGGTGTACAACTGGGCAGGAGTTTGATGAGGGTTCATTCCATACCTCAAAGGCAACTGAGATATTCCTTTACCATACTGCTTCCGGAAGTAATCAGAAATTGCTTCATCATATTGTGCCGTATGAGTGAAAGCCTACAAAAAGAGTCAGTTTTGTGAAATAACAGCAGCATTTCCCAAAGTGGGAGAAGATGGTTCTAGGTAGCACATAGCCGACTACACCCCCGCCCCCTGCACACACACCTGTGCAGGAAAGACACCAAATAACACTAAACAGCACAATGAATGAGTCTCTTTCCAATTCTCTTGTCACCAGGAGTCTAGTGAGAAGTGAATACCGTGTGGTTTGGCAAACGCTGCACCAGATAAAAACGGGCCCCCACCTTCAAGGCTAACTGGCGCCTTGTCTCCAAGGAGGTGTCTTGACTGTCGGTGCTCTGCATCTCTGTGAACACGGCTGCGTAGTCCTCTGGCTCACAGACGACTGTCACTCGGGCATGGTTCTTGGCCGCTGCTCTCAGGAGGGTGACTCCACCTTTGAGGAACAAAAGACGATCTGTATTTTCACATCAGTTTCTCAAACACAGTCATTGCACACATACTTCCACTTTAACTCCTGACTTAAAAAATAAGGGAAAAAGTAACGCAGATGAATCTCTGCACAAAGAAATAGCTTAGCAAATACAGATGAATTACAGTCATCCCAGAACACAATCTGGCAGCAGGAACTATTTTCTATTCCCTCAACAGTGAATTTCAAAATGAAATCTCATTTAAAATCTACATAATCTCCCCCTCTGTCAGTCTTCAAAAACAGTTTTCCACCTTACCAATATCAATTTGCTCCACAGCATCTTCCACAGTTACATCTGGAGAAGCCACTGTCTTCACAAAGGGATACAGGTTACAAACGACAACTCTAAAAGAGGAATTCAGCTGTCATTAAAAACTCAGCGTTCGTGGTTTACAGCTATATAAGAAAAGCATGATCAAAACTCCTGAAGACCTAACATGTCGACTGTGAGCCTGACATTTCAGAATTCTACAGAGTGATGTTGGAAAGTCAGGACCTCCACTGTCGCAGAGCACAGGGCACCAGAAGTGGCTGCAGTCAGCAGGTGCACTCCACGGACGTTATTCCCTCTCAGTCCTACTGCAGTGGTGCTGCAAGATGGCTTGATAGCATCAAGCCATCAAAAACTTTTTAAAAATTTTAATAGAAATGTAAAATTTCTATTACGCTACAGATAAGATACTCATTTTGCAATGACATCATGATTATTTAGGACATTTGATTTTAGATTCTATTTCCAGTGGATTGTGTACAATGATGAAAAACAATGGACCATTGTAAGGGTGAAATACTTATTTGTATGTTTTGTCTTCAGAGAGATCATAGATAACAATGGTAACAAGAAAGCCAAAAGAATAATTTAAAATATGGAACTAATCTAAAATTAACCACCAGTGAAATTGAGTTCCACTCTTAGGACCTCAATGTGAGGAGGTCTGCGGACAGTGAAATACATACAACTGGTAAAAACTAATAACACAAGAAAAAGAGAAGAGGAGGGGAACACTTCCTGATGTCTATTACCCTGACATCAAAGCCAGACAAAATGTCACAGGAAAAACACAGACCAGTATCTCTTACAAATACTGACACAAAAATCCTCAACAAAATACTAGCAAACTGAATCCAGCAAAATATAAAAGGAGGCACAGACCACAGCCAAGTAGGGTTTATCCCAGGAATGCAAAGTTGGTCTAACATCTAAAAATCAGTTAATGTAATAGACCACTTAATAAAACAGAGGATAAAAACCACCTGATCATTGACACAGATGCACAAACAGCATCTGACAAAACTGAACACCCACTCATGATAAAAACACTCAACAAGTTAAGAATAGAAGAGAACTTGCTCAACATGATAAAGGGTATTTAACAACAGGCACAGCTAACATCATACTTGAAGGTGAAGACTGAAAGCTTTCCCCTAAGATCAGGGTGTCCACTCTTCCCCTTCTATTCAACACTGTACTGGAGGTCCTAGCCAGGTCAACTAGCAAAGAGAAGGAGATGAAAGGCATCCAGATTGGAAAGGAAGAGGTGAAGCTATCTCTATTAGCAAGTGCCATGATCTTGTATATAGGAAATCCTAAGGAATCCACAAAAAAACTATTAGCACTAATAAATGCCCTCAGCAAGGTTGCAGGACATATCATCAATTGAACTTATACACACTAGTCATAAACAATCTGAAAGTGAAATTAAAAAACAATTCTACTCACAACAGCATCAAAAACAAAAAAACATTTAAAAATAAATTTAACAGAAGTACAACAGTTGTATATGAAGAAGTACAAAGCATTGTTGAAAGAAATAAAACAAAATCTAAATAAATGGAAAGACATCCCATGTTTACGGACTGGAAAACTTAATATTGTTAAGATGCCAATATTCCCAAATTGACCTACAGATTCAACACAATCCCTATGAGAGTCCAACTCCCTTTCTTGCAGAAATGAGCAAGCTGACCCTAAAATTCACATGGGAATGCAAGGCATCTTGAATACCCAAAGCAATCTTGAAAAAGAAGAACACAGTTGGAGGACTCATACTTCTCAATTTCAAAATTTACCACAAAGGTACAGTGGTAGCATAACAACAGAGGTATAGATCAAGTGTGCCCAGACCGGTCAATGGGGAAAGAACAGTCTTTTCAACAAATGATGCTGCGACAACTAGATAGCCACACACAAAAGAATAAAGTTGGACCCTTACCTCACACCCATATATAAAATGTTGCTTAAAAGGAACCAAAGATGTAAGCGTAATAGCTAAAACTAAAAACCTCTTAAAAGAAAACACAGGGCTGGCCCTGATGGCCTAGTGGTTACACTTCGGCACACTCCCCTTTGGCGGCCCAGGTTCAGTACCTGGGCACGGAACCACACCGCTCATCTGTGAGTGGCCATGCTGCGGCAGCAGCTCACATGAAAAAAAAAAAAAAGAGGAAGATTGGCAACAGACGTTAGCTTGGGCCAAAGCTTCTTCAGCAAAAGCAAAAAAAAGGAAGCATAGGCATAAATCTACATTACTTGGATGATCAAAGGGCTTCTTAGATATAACACTAAAAGCATAAGCAACAAAAGAAAAAATAGATAAACTAAACAGCATCAAAATTTAAAACTTTTATATGGTCAAAGGATACTATGAAGAAAGTGAAAACAACCCACAGAATGGGATAAAATGATCTCTTTCAACTCAATAATAAACAACTCAATTAAAAACTGGACAAAGGATCTGAACAGACATTTCTCCAAAGGTATACAAATGGCCGAGAAACACAGATGTTCAACATCATTAGGAAATGAGAATCATAATCACAATGAGATACCACATCACACCCGCTAGAACGGCTAGAATCAAAAAAATACATGACAAATGTTGGTGAGGATGTGGAGAAATTAGGAGCCACCTACACTGCTGCAGAGAATGTAAAATGATACAGCACTTTGGAAAACAGCATGGCAGTTCCTCAAAAGGATAACAGAGTTACCATATGACCAAGGAAGTCTACTCCTAGGTATGTACCCAAGAGAAATGAAAATATATGTCCACACATAAATTTGAACATGAATGTTCACAGCTGCTTTATTCCTAACATCTAAAAAGTGGAAACAATCCAGATGCTCATCAACTGATGAACTTATAAATAAAATGGGGTATATCCATACAATGCATTATTTTTCAGCAACAACAAAAAAATGAAGCACTGATATGCTATAACATGGATGAACGTGAAGACATGCTAAGAAGCAAGTCACAAAGGACCACGTATTGTAGAATTCTACTGATATGAAATGCTCAGTATAGTAGATAGATCCATAGAGACAGAAAATAGACTGGCGGTTGCCTGGGGGTAGAAGGTGGTGGGGGAAATAAAGAATGAATGCTAATGGGCATGAGGTTGTCTTGCTTTTTTTTTGGTGAGGAAGACTGGCTCTGAGCTAACATCCATGCCCATCTTCCTCTATTTTGCATGTGGGATGCCTGCCACACATGGCTTGATGATACTGTGTAGGTCTGCACCCAGGATTCAAACCTGCAAACCCTGGGCCACCGAAGCAGAGTGTGGGAACTTAATCACAATGCCACCAGGCCAGCCCCATGAGTTTTTTTTTTTTTGAGGGGGGTGATGAATATATTCTAATATTAACTGTAGTAATGGCTGCACAACTCTGAATATACTAAAAACCACTGAATTAAATATTTTAAATTGGGGAATTGTATGGTATGGGAACTATATCTGAATAAAGCCATTATACATATTTAAAAGAAACAGTGACTATCTTTATGCAAATACCTAAGTTGCTTGTATGTACTAAAATTTAGATAACTTCCTAAAAAAGCAAAGGTTGTTTTTAGTTGAAGTATGAATTTTGGTAATATAAATTAGGCAAAACCAAAATGCTTAAACATGTACAATGTCACACAGAAGGTACTCAATAAATGTTTATACGGTCATGCATCGCTTAACAACGGGGATAAGATCTGAGAAATGAGTCGTTAGGAGATGCTGTTGTGCGGACACCAGAGTGTATTTACACAAACCTAGATGCTATAGCCTACTACACTCCTAGGCTGTATGGTACTAATCTCATGGGACCACTGCCGTATATGTGGTCCATCACTGACTGAAACGTTGTTATGCGGTGCATGACCGTAGTGAGTGGTCAGGAAACTAAACCTAATGCTAATCTTGAACTTAAAAAAGGGACACTAGCTTTGGCATACTCTTTATCTTTGATCCTTAATGTATTAAAAATTCAACTTCAAATTTTTACCTTATGAGATTGAAATCAAGTCTGGCCATGTCAGCATTATCTTCTGGGATATTACGAGCCAAGATTCCTAATTTCACAAAGTTAAAAGTATTAGGTTCAAAAAACAAGTCAGAATAAGGTACTTCTTTCCAAAACAGTCCCATCATCAAGTTAAAGCTTCTAATACTGCCTAATTAAGAATACCAAACACATGGTTAAAAATTAAGATTAGCGGGTATATTTAAAAATCTTGTGTCAGTTCCTGATTCCCCTTTTCTTGAGCCACAAGATGTAAAAGGAATTTTCACGTAACTGTTGTCAATTCTGTTACTCTATATGTTCCATAAGTAAATGGCTTATCTGAGGATTCTCGGCCTTACAGCCTTTTATTCTGCTGAATTTTACTGTAACTGATAAGTTAGCAATATTCCTGGTTCTCACCATTTTTGATTGACATGCTCGTCTTTGTCTCAGAAATGAACAAAAGTAGAGCACTTCAAAAAAGAATTCTTTTGAAAGTCAGTTACATTGTGATGCTTTATTCTGTCTGAATCACGACAAAAGTCTTTACACACATAAATTCTAAATACTTTCATTAACTCCAGCAGGAAATATCACTCTAAATTAGTTACCAGGTCAGGACTAAAGCAAGCAGAGGAAAACAACCTGAATCCATCGCGTAATAAAGCCAAGGAGATTTTAAACAGGTTCTAACATACTACGAACTTTGGCAGCGAACGTGGCAAAACCAATATAACCTCACAGATAATTTTTTTTTGAGCTCATGACCTACCTTTTTCCTCACTTATTCTACAAAGTAATCAACTAAAATATTCCTGAAACCCACAGAAGGTACCAACCACTTACCAGCATGGACCGCAGGATGCAAGGTTTTCACACGCCCCCCTAACATTTCAGGAAATCCTGTCAACTCAGAGACATCTCTGAAAATGGATACACAGAATGTTACTCCTGTCTCTGCTGAACCATCATTTTACATTTTACGCTATTCCAAAGCATCTTTCAACATTAAATCTATCATTCTCATTTCAAGAGATTTTTCAGAGCCTGAATTTTCAGAATTCAGAAACTCAATCGTAAGCCATACTAATGAAATATTATTAAGAAACAAATTCCACTGAGAAGTAATTTGGCAATATATAACAAAGAGCATTAGAAATATCCTCATCTCAGAAACAGACTAGAGTAAAAACAAGAATTTAGTCTTATGATTAAACAAGCCTCAAGATGGCAAATCCAATGAGTGGGGAAACGAAAGATCATCTAGTAAAGTGGTGTTGATACTGGAATAACTGGTTAATCCCACATAAAAATAAATTTGCAATGAATCAAAAGTTTAACTACTATAATTAAATATGTGAGGAATGCTTTCAAAGTGTTAATCAAAAGACTATCTGACTGTGTAAATATTAAAAACTTCTACAAGGAAAAAAAAAGTAAGCTGGGAAAAATAATCGCAAAATATGACAAAGGGTCAAATAAGAGACAATAATTAAATATTGATCCATATCACCAAACTGACATGAACCTTCTCTCTCTGACAGAATTTACAAGCAAATTTTAATAGAGTGGAAAAAAGCCCACCACATTTTAAGTGAAAAAAGGCAAGAAGCAAATTATCTTCTGTATGAGCTATGAAATAAAGTACACGCTTATAAAAACACTGGAAGGAAACACGTCAACATGTTAAACAGAACTATAAGCCATTTTTACTACTTTCTTTATAGTTTTCCACATTTTTCAAATTTTCTACAATCAACATATATTGCCTTTATAGTAAAAAAACAATAAACATTTTAAAGCAGCAAATTCTGCCAATAGGATACAGCAGTCCTGGGTAGATTCTCCTATTAAGGAAGGCCATTTGCAAATGAGTGGTGTTTGACCAAGGACATACACAGTTCCAACGTAAAACGACAAACTGGTGGCATTATGGTTTCCAAAACAAAATTACCTTTCCTAGAATTCAGGAAATAAAATCCAGTTTCTCCAACTGAGGATAAACGATAAAACAAAGGTAGATCCATTCTTAGAATTAACAACCATTTGAGGTAATTAAAAAGGTTGCCACTCCTTTACATTTAAGAATTTGTGCAGAACGGCTGCCATCTTGGGAATAATTCTCAGGATGCTCACTGCTGTATACTCACTAATTAAAATCTGATCAGTTTACCTCACACATCAAGGTTAACTTTCTGGGATAAAACTGTGTAATCTTGGGCAAGTTACATAACTTCTTTGTGCCTCTATTTCCTTATTTATTAAATAGGGATAATACTATCTACACCAAAGTGTTATCGTAAGGATTACATGAGTGAATATATATATGAGAGTGTAAACAGTCTCACTTTAATAGGAGAGAAACACATAATGGGGGTGAGTGAGGAGTGAGTAGGGGTATAGATCAAACACAACTCAGGAGTTGATATGTATTTAAACTGGGTGATGGATATACAACATGGAGGTTCATTATACTTTTCTCTCTACTTTTGATTACGTCTGAAATGTTTCCATAATACAAAGTTGGTGGGGAAAAGAGAGGTTACAGAAGAGTACCTTGCTTAATTTGCAGGGTCCAACTACACGAGGACCCAACATTGTTCAATGGAAAGAACACTGTCTAGACTTTGGATTCTCCGCCCTCGCCTTCCACGATTCTTACAAGGTTCCTTCGAGAACCCCATCAGGGAGAAGATGCAAAAAGACTTTGGAAAATATAAAGCATTTATTTAATAAAGTTAAGTCATTCCTGCCATCTGAACTTGTCAAATTTAGGGAAGCTGTGTACTGCCCGCCTAGGGGAGGATTACAAGGGGAAAAGGTAATAATCCAAATCTACATGGATCTAGAGGGCAAGCATCGAAATTTTCCCTGTGGCAACAACAGCAGACAGATCTTTCACCCCTTTTTCTAAAAATATTTCAGGGGTGGGTATGCCCTTCCTCTCAACCCTCACTGCAGCGTGTTACAGCTGTCCTCCCGCCTGTTTCATTTTCTTGAGGTCAGCACTGGCAGCACATTCCTTCTTCCAATCGTTTAGCCACGTAAGGAATACCTTACAGAAGAGGGAATGAATGATAGATTTGTGCCTTCATATGGTTACGTCAGATGCTAAGGGAAGAGAGGCAGACTTGAATCTTAATGTCAATAGTTTACTAAAGGGCCAGTCAAAACAGATCATGTGAATCAAGCGAATCACAACTTGAGTTTTTCTTGCATAATAAATAGCCCGCCTAAATTAATCGTTATAGGAAGTGGCTGAGAAGCGGGGTTCCAAACCATGGCTCTCCCCCTTACTTAACTCTGTAAACTCGAGCAGAAGGTCTTAGATCTCTCTGAGCCTCACTTTCCTCTTCTATGAAGTGGGTAAGCAGTGTCCCAACCTCACAGCACTGTTGGGAAGAGTGCACAAGGCATTTTACTCCCCGCGCCTGGAAAACACTCCTTTCTGGTTACCGTGAGCACACTACGTTCTGATGGGACTTAAAATTAACTCTGAGGCGCCTTACCTGACGGCCAGACCAGCATCCCTGAGAGCTTTTGCAGTGCCTCCAGAGGCGATCAGATTCAAACCCACAGAAGCGAGGCTTCTGGCAAATTCCACAACGCCAGTTTTGTCGGAGACACTAAATAAGGCTGAAACAGAAGACATTCTCCGTCATCACTGGCGGTGCACGGCACTGGGTTCTCGAAGGCCTTGGGCGGGGGAGGGACTGGGCCCGCACTCCCAGGCCAGGCCCGGGTCCCCGCCC